CTCCTCTCCTCTCTTAGCTATATTTAGGATCATACATTTATGAAATAGCTCAAACATATAAACTTTTGAGACAAGTCGAATCTAAGCTAAAACTTTTAATTGTAACCAAATTGAAGCCTGAACCAAAATCTTAAATTTTTCTATCAAGTTAAGCTTAAATAGTTTCGGCTCGTATGCACCCCTTATACGAGGGAAGTGGTGGGATTGATTAATTATTAACATTGAGTTTTATCCTACAATTGCAAAATAAGGATTTGGATAACATTCTAATATCTGGATGCATTTCAGAACCTAGACTCTAAAATCAAAACATGTAAATAAAGTTATAATATGAATATTTGTATTATCAAAAATTAACATGATCATTTTGAAATAAACGGTGTTTTCATATTAAATTATTTGCATTTGTTTGTTTGTTGAGTTTGTTTTCTCTGCTTTTAACATTAAAGGGGTGTTCGTTTTTTGGATTTTGAAAGGAGAAAAATTGATCAATGCGATTTTGATTCCCATTAATTAAGAAATCCATATTCTTTTTTCAGATTTATGTAGAGACCAAAAAAAGTTTATGTTCCTAGATACCAATCTCCGAGGTGGACCCCATAAAGAAAAAGTTGATAACAATGGATGAGATAAATGCCCCTTTAATAATAGATTTTTATGACTAAAATGATCATTATCTTATTTACTTGAAAAATAAAATAACCCGATGAATAAATTCACCCAAATAAATAACTTATGACAATGGAGCTGCTGAATACATTTCCCTATACCAAGGATTTGCTTTGTAGGGGGATATATCCATGTACCTCAATTCCTCAGTCCACGTGAATTTTGTCAACTAGGTGCTATGTATCCAACCACAACCCACTCTCATTTCTTACATGTAGAAAATCAACTTGAGACATTTAAGATTAGAGAACAGATAAAAAAGCAATCACATTATATATTATAATCTCCATTATAAAGTGTACAACAAACGCCTTCGTTTACATAAGGAACTGCGCATATACTTATTCAGTTATTGGTAGTAGTAATATTTTAGTTTTAGTTGTTGTCCATCCAGAACTGAGCTTGAAGATAATCGATCACCTTCTTGTCGACTTGGAATGCCTTTGCAAGAACATCATCTTTGATGGGTGGCTTGGATCCAAACACAGCATTAGCAATGGTGATTGTACCTGGGTTCTGACTGCTCAAACCGGC